AAAATCAAGCATAGCGTTTTACCGGCTGATCTATCATTGGTTCAAAGGAGAGAAGAAAAAGGGTATGAATGTGGGTGACTTCCAATGTGAGTGGGTGCATCAGTGCAGGGTATGAGTGTGCATGTGGATTGGTGACTGAAGAGGGTGTCTACAACCACACGTACACCAATCCAAACACTTCTTTACTCGAGCACTCAGCACACTCAGATCCAAACCTACACACATATATACCCAGTATCAATGTTGGATCAAAGATTAGCTTAGGAAGATTCTTGAGGTATAGTTGTCAAGGTCTCATTTTGTCCCAATGGAATAAATCTGGCAAGTATTCCACTTTTGTAAATACAACCTAAAAGAAGTAAAATTATAGGTGGTGATAAACAGTTTTCAACTTTACTTAGCCGTGTTTTGAAATTATATTTCACATTTCCTATACCATCCTATGATAATTTTTGACAAACTTGACATGTCTCAACCGTAGATTTCTATAAACTAAGACCAGCTCACCATATATATTGCGATAGTGTAAAACTTAAAAATAACTGTATTAACCGGCCTCGTATCACAAAAGATTTGTACCATCATAATATGGATTTCGCGTCAAAATTAAAAAAAGTTGAATTTTTAATTCAAAATCTAGAAAATGATTGGTTGCTGGATTCTGATGTCAATATCTCATAAAAGTGAAAGTTTTCACCAATGGAAAGGACCATCAATTTTGAAATGATGTCATTTTTCTCCTTTTCTTGAATAATACCTCAGAATCAAAAAATTAAAATATTTTCTTCGTCAATTCAAAAATGAAAGTTCTTACGACCTTCACTGTCAAAATGTCTCTGACACAGGGATTTTCATGGTTGAGTGTCAGCATTCGTTTTTAAATACGAAAATTTTCCAAGTCTCTGTTGTTCAACTCTGCTAATAGTGAAGATTTTCATGGGTGAGAAATCTCCCCCGTTTTGAAGCTAAAGAATTCAGCTTCTTTTTTAAATTTTAATATCCGATTTAAAAAACTGAATATTTCTCAAATATATTAAAACGAGATTTTGTCAGATTTTTCTCTCAATATCTTGCAAAAGGAATTACTTGAACAACTAATAATTTCTGCATCTTTTCATCATATTTGACCTAGGAATATCAGTTAGAAATCATAAAATGAAACTTTTTATTAATAAATTTTAAAAAACGAGGTTTTTCACTAGTTTCTGCTGTCAATATCTCCAAAACGCGAGAATTTTCAAGCAGTAAGAACTTCTGCTCATTTCCACATGAATGAATTATGATTCACTTTGGAATTCAGTTCTCAATTAAAGAAATTTTCATCTATCATTCAACATTTCTTTTAAGAAGATTTCATAAATTTTACTCACTCATTAGCTTGTAACCGAAACCATTTTAAATGATTGTGAATTTATGATCCTTTATATTTGAAGAAAATTGAGCTCTAGTAGCATTTTGAACTGGAACTCAGTAAACTATATCATTCTATCCTTAAAATAACGAGCGAAGCTTTTGCCATATTTCTTATCTGAACACTTGGCAAAAGAAATCATTTTCACTGCATTTTCATTTCAATCAATCAAGAAAACAAAAGGACCTCATTTCAAAATACAAGAACGAAGATGTTTCCTGGTTTCTAGTGTCGATATCTTGCAAAAGAAAACATTCTCATCGTCAAAAATTGAAATTCAATCTCAAAGTATAACTTTATAACACTGTAATGAATTTGAACTCAAAATTTACAAACTAAAGTTGATCTCGAAAATATAAAAGAATTTGATTTTTCATGGTTATTTCTGCGAATATCCTTAAAAAGGAGACTTTTTACTTCTGTAGGTCATGCTCTGATACAATATTTTGGGGTCCTTGTAGTGAAATAAATGCTAGATCGAAAGTTAAAAATAAAGTTTTCAGCTCGAAAAATAAAAATATGGGCATGTTTTGTAAATTGTGGTGTAAATATCTTGTTAAGTCTTTTCAGCGGTGAACTTTACCGTCCTGTCTCGTATCATGACAATCCAGTGTTGATAAGGATCAGACCTGGTGATTGAAAAGTTTGGTTTTTGAGCTCATAAGAACTTTGATCGCCCTCATGTCATGGCGATTGTGATAGCTCGTCGAAATTTCTTTTATGTCCTTAGTACACATCTATGAAACTGATACTCAGTTGAACAGTAGTTTGTCCTTATATATTTGATGACTATTCTATCGGTTCTTACTGCTCAATTTTAAGAAGTTAACATATCGATTGATTGTGATCGAATAGATTGCAATGGAATTTTTCATTTAAAAGTAAAGAAATTTACATCATAAGCAAACATATGAATCATATGCTCTTAGGGAGGCCTATCTGTTTCACAAATTCTTTCTTTTCTTTGGAAGGTTACTAATTACAAAGCAGTATTTGCATAGTTTTCACTTTCGAAACATATTCTATTTGTTTTCTGTTCCAATATTTTGTTCTGGATTTGGTTTTGCATCTGCAATATAATTGTGAATGTTACCAATACATATTCTACGAATGTCTTTGTAATTGCGGAAGAACTCATCACGAGATTATGTGCTCATAAGTTTTGAGACTGAAACTGAATAATCTGCAGCAGCAAAAATCTTCTGAAATACATTTCAATGTCGGAAATTCCTCGTCAACAATAAACCATCATTGGAATTTAAAACTCTATCCAATCTTGAATATAAACAGGATTTAATCTAACAGTGCTTTCATTCTTGGCCTAAATTTAACATTTTAAATACTCTCAAACTGATTTGTCTATTTCTCTGAGATGAATTTGTTGTTATTACATTTTATAAGATATGAGTGAAAAAAAAACACAGTTCAATAAGGAATTTTCTTTTGTATTTAGCAATATTCAATTTTTATCGAACAAGACTTGATATTCTGTCCTTTTTCATGAAAACTGGCTTTCGGCATCATTCATCGGAAAAGTTTACTCGAAAAATTGTAACTTCATTTCAGTCAATGAAGTATCGACAACACCCGTTTGTATCAGCATTATCTCGTAGCTAATAGACCTTCTGCTTTAGCGTTGAGGTTAAACTAGACAACTACAATAGATAAAGCGTGAACAAATTCACTTCATTAAGGTAGAACATTTTCGATATACAATGAAAGATGTTTTATTGAGGAGGTTCAAAGAGAAAATGTGACCTTCAAAGGTTTTACTTAGCTGCTGCCACTTGAGGTTTTGCTGTTGCCGTTTTTTGCGGAATTCACATAGATTTTCGAAGAAAATAGGGAGTATACGTTTTAAGTTCAAGTTTTCTGGTTTCCCTCCCCTCCCATTACAGACCATAGCAACCAGTGATGAATGTAGTTAGGCACCCTAGCTTGTATAGAATATGTGAGTTCCACATTTTAGTCCCAAAGGGGATGTGCTAACAAGCTTTTTTTCGATGTTTGTCTATCGGTCAACTATTCAGTTTATGGTGAATTCGTCTATTGTCTGATGAAGTAGGGTGCGCAATTTTTGGTGTTCTGTGGAGCACAAAAAGATTGCATAAAAACTGCATAGAAAATCAATCTGATTTTTCTAACATTAAAAATACTTGAACTAGATTCAGCTAAAAGCAACACTCTCGACGTATTTGCGAGACTAGCGCTATCTATGATACATTTGGATTAATATATTGAGAATAGTACTTCAACTGACGATGGTTCAAACATTTTTCAAGTTAGAAAAGTCAGTTTGACTCTCTATGAGACTTTTATTTAATCACATTGACTCTCACGAAACTCGAAAATTCCAAGCTTTGTTTTTCGAGAACACTGACCAAATCCAATAAAGAGAACGATGAGATGATTTTAATCAATTGCCACTCTCCTATTCACAGTCGCTTTTGCATTCAGACACTCACTACTCTGTACCTTCACAACAATAAAATCGGAGAGAGTGGTGCACAGCATATCGCGGAAGCACTTAAAAACAACAAAGTGAATTTTATTTATTGTCTGCATATTTTTCTCTCATGTTTGCTTTTCCTTTTCTTTTATAGACACTGCAGACATTATACCTTCCAGCGAGCATCCCCGCTAATGTACAAGTTAACTTAAAACAACGAGACAGTAGAATTAATTTTAGTTACTGATCTATTATTTTTTTTGTTTCGATGAGATAAAATAAAATTGGATTGACTGATATAGCGTGTGAGTGGGTACGACTTGGATGTCTGTGGGTGTACGTACATGTATTTGTGAAGCTATATGATGAAGAAGAATGAACATGATAAAGAAAAAAACTGATGTTTGGAAAGATTGAAAGACCCTTATTATCTCTTTTGCAAAAGCAATTCTTAAAAAGGTTTACTGAGAATGTGAAATGTTTTTCAACAAAGCTTTATATATTATTCAGTTAAATCATTATTTCTAATAATTCAATTTTACTTTTTTTTGTGAAATACGATCTGAAAGGAGTGTTGAAGTATATAGGGGTAGAAATTTGCACCCACCCTCCACAGACCGTGACAGAGAAACTCTATATCCATCACAGACCGTGACAGAGAGAATCTCAATACCCATCACAGACTGTGTTATATCCAATAAAATCAACTTAAATATCTTAAAATAAAAAAGAATTGAACACTGTAGACAATTAATACTTATAGTTCTTTGCTCAATATATTTTTTTCATTTCAATAAAAAATATACGATTTACCTGAATATACCAATCAAAATACAAAAATTTAACTTATATTTTCTATATAAGATTCAATCCTCATTTTTTTTTATACCTAATAAATGTACCTCAGGCTATATTACAACTATTTGAATACCAATATTGCCACTTGGTGATATACAAACTACTTCTTTATTGTATTGAATAAACACAAAGCTAAAACAATTAACTGAAAATCTCTGCAAAAATAAATCAATTTCAAACTATCTTCTTGAGATAAAAGAAAACAGCTTTATCGTGTTTCACATTTTTTATTTAATAAACACAAAACATATTTAATAATAATTAACATTGAACATGGAATAATTATAGCCATTCAATATATAGATTCTCAGCTACACGTTTAATTTTATAATTCCATAGAAGTTTTTCAAGATCAATCATTCTATTTAGTTTTTGAATCATTTCATCATCTGCTGTTGGAACTCGAAAACATAATAAACGAAGATATTCATTATAATCATGCTTGATTTTTTTCAAAATACATTGTAATAAAAATTTGAAATCCATTTGTTTTGTATGATCCACTTTGAAATATTTCATAAAAGGACATAAATTTAAAAGAATAGAAAATTCTTCAATTTCATTCATTGTTAGAAGATATACTTTTCTAACTTTACTTGTATAATTCATTGAAAGTTGAATAAAATTTAACATTATTGGTTTATGTAATGATAAAGAATGAATTTTTAATGTAGTAAGTTCTGGTAATAAACGTACAATTTCAATTAATACATCAACATAGACATTTTCTACTGGAATATCCAAACTGTAAATTTGTGCTACAGTTAAAATACGTGTCATACCCATCTGTAAGTCTTCATCAAAATCAATATCATTAATATACTCAATTGTTAATCGAGTAGATTTAGCATATTCAACAGAAGAATTTAAAATATTATCTTGTGTGTATTCATACCATCTTTTTCTAACAAAAAAAAAATCACAATATATAATCATCATTTTATTGAAAAAAACTGATGCTCTCAATATACCTGTACGGACGAACTATGTAATCAATAGATTCATTATCAATTTTGATTTCAAATGTCCATTGTCGTTCAATCCAAAAAGATGTAATGAATTGGTCGGATACTCCAGGATATTTATATTCTTCAGCAAAAGATTCAATATATCGAAAATAAAATTCTTCCAATTGAGGTAATGACTTGAAAATTAGTTGTTCCCATTGATGAGCATTCAGAAAATCGATATGTTCAGATTGAATAGTAACACGTAAAATTTTTAATTTCGCATGTATTTTTCTGATGAATAGTTCGAATTCATCAAATTTTGCATCATCCATAGTTATTGAAATATCTACTAAATTTGATAATGTTATTGGTAATATAGTTTGAATACTTGTATCAATATCAAGATTATTACCAATTTTTAGACAACGAATTTGAGGTATATACGAAAGAATTATAAAAAGTTCATTGACACTACAATATTGATAAGTAACAAGATGTTCAATAGTACTCAATTGTTGATTGATAGCCATTGGAAGTGATATCGTGACGTAACGATCCAAGAAGAATATGAATGATTTTAAAACAGGTAATGCGAATATTAATCTGTAAATATCATTTAAATATTCTAATATATTCAGTGGACGAATAGTTAAAGATAAAAGTCGAGGTAGATCAGCTAAATTAATGAGAAGTGAAATAAGTATATCTGATTGATTTGATCCAATATAAATTGATTCAAGACGACTTAGTGACAAATCGAAAGTAAACCACGATAAATGATTATTTTTTTCAAAACTTAATTCGAATTCAATTGAAAATATTTTATGTTTATTACGAAGGAGATATTGTTGATAGTTGTTCATGGACGATTCATTATATGTTGAATTATCAAGTTTAATTTTAAGTATAAGAGATGGAGAATCGAGAAGTTGTTGAAAATGATGATTAAGATTGGAAAATGTGTTATATATTTCATAACCATCAAGATAATCAAATATTTCATAGAAAATTTCATTAGATAAATTTTCAATAAAAGTTATTGTTCGAGCAAAGTTATCTATTTATATGAAAATACAAAAAATTAACATATATTTACTATTAGAACAAGTTACTTTGTAATTTTTTTGTTACTTCATTTGATAATTGATTAAATGTAAATTTTCGCTTAACTTGATCCATATGTCTCTCTTGAAAAACGTTAAAATTCAATGAATAATTTCTTTCTAAACGCAAAAAAAAAAGAATACCATCAATCAACTATAGATTACTTCTCTGCAGGTGTTTGATATGTCTACAGAGTATGTGTGTGTGTAAACCAAGATTCTTAAAATCTATATTGACTTATTAAACGATAACACGTAAGATAATTATGCAAGTATCTACATGGAATTTAGAATTTTGAGAAAAGATTTATGTATTATTCAATCTAAAAAAGAAAAAAATATTATTTAAAAACGATTATATAACAATACTGTGTGATGAACTCATTCTATCATCATTATCAATAATGATGTTTTATCTTATTCAGTGGTTCCTTCAATTCATTTGTGTTGTATATATTGTAAAACAACAAAGAAAAAATAGATGACGCCTCAGTCAACATCAATATTGTAAGAAAGAAAGTTATAAAAGAAAGAGAAAGGAAAGATAACATCTATCAATCGTTACGTGATGAATAAACAACTTTCAATAATTTGAGATATATTATTTTAATATTACGGTGAGACAATGAATGACAAACAAGATTATCATACTTAAAAACAATTCAATCTTACATTTTTTCTTCGAGAATAATATTTCGCCAATCTGGACTATGGCAATATGAATGATAATATTTTCTTTATGATGTAGGCATGAGCCTTCTCGTGATTCACATCTATATTCAAACGGATGAAAAAGGAAACGAACTCGACGATATAAACATAGAATATTATGATTTTTGAGAAATAAAAATAAAACTCAAGGATACACATCAAAACAATGATCTTTGTTTTTCTTTGGCAGAGTATGAATGTTGATTTGATGGTTTGTTTGTGTCATCTCTTCATCTGCACCTAAACCATTAAAAATTTCATGGTTTTGTATTCAAATCTCAAAGAGAAAAAAAAACTTCGAAGAGAATAATTTCGAAAAATGTATATGTCGAAAAAAAAACCGCTTATCAAAGGAAAAAGTTTCGAGAAAGTCAAATATCACTGAACAAAAAACGTCGCAGACAGCTAGCAACTTTTGATAGATATAATTATAATTATAAAATATCATACAAATAAAGTCGAAATTTTATTTTAAAAGTTTATAATCATAAATTAATGAAATGAAGAAATCATATGAAGAATAACAAGGAAATATGATTTCGTCGTGATGAAAGGAGAAAGTTTTTCAAGAAAATTACTGAGATTTATTTTATTCTAATGAAAATTCGATTGAAGTAAATGAATTCGTTGTTGAAGAACAACACCTTTTGCATACGGAATGAAAAAGCGAATATGAAAAAACAAATGTAAACAATATCAATTATAAAAAAAGAGAGAAAGAAAAATATCATTTGATCAATTATCCAATCATTCATCGTCAATTTGGATTATACAACAATGTATCATTGTTTTTATTGACGACATTGGTCAAACAGAAGACATGAGTATGTCTATATTTATAAGCTACACAGAATAGATATAAGTGAAGATAAACATGAAATATTCATTTATTGAATTGAATGATTTACCTAATGAAATTCTTATGATTATTCTGAAAAAATTGCACAATGTCGAAATACTCTACTCTCTAATTGATGTTAATAAACGACTCAATACAATTGTACATGATCCAATTTTTACAAGTTATTTAGCATTGATGACATCTTCGTCTAATTGTTTATTTGATCGACTTACTGATACAATACTTGATCGATTTTGTCTTCAAATTTTACCTAAAATTCATCATAAAATCGAATTTTTCAATCTTGAATCATCATCTATGGAACGTATTCTTCTTTTAACAAATTATCCTAATTTATATGGACTTGGTTTATATAATCTTGCATCAGAAACGGCTAGAGATCTCTTTACTGGTAAGATTTTTGCTTCGATTAATTATTGAAAAATATAAAAATATTAGGATAATTTATCTGAATATGTGCTATATATAATGTAAAGTTAATTATTAAGATTTTTTTTTTATCAATCAATCTCGTCATTATTTATCGATGAACATTAATTCGAAGAAAATACAACTATTTACTAAAAATGAAAAATAATATTTAAAAATGAAAGATTTTTTATTGTCTTTAAGTTAAATTCTTAAAACATCAATTCTTAATGTAGAAAATATAGTATAAAATAAATGATTAAGATAAATATTGAGAAATTCGAAAGAACATGATATGTAGATAGGAAAGTTATTAATAAGAGAAAAAAATAGTTATGCTTTAATTTAATCTAATATATAGAGAAGAAAGTTTATTTGTCTGTTCTTTATGTATTTGGACACGATACGAGCAACTGCAACCAAACTTTTCAGGGACCATCCTCTCATCGAGGAGGAGGTCAACGACTACTTTTTGTCGAAAAAACATCGGTTCTCTGCCTGCAACAGGCCTGCCGATGTATCTGATCAATGAGATTGCAGCATTCAGTAGTATTGGAGAACTAGTGTCCTGCACGGGTACGACTTTTTGCACCCGGACTCGATTCGGCAGTCTTTTTTTTATACCCGGGCCCGATCCGGACTCGGCCAGCTTATACCCGACCCGGTGCTAATCAAGATTTGCAAAGTACTTTCACAGTCATAGTACAAATTTGAAACTGTCACTTCGTACGAAAAAGTATACTGTTTAGTTTCTTACGTAAACAGAAATAGGGGTGTTACTTGATCTTTATCTTTATGAAACGGAAGCAAAGAAATTCTTTTATTTTTGAAAAGTAAATATATAAAAAAAAAAAAGATAAATAAAATCTTTATATTTATAAAATAAAGATAAATGAATTCTTTGTTTTTGAAAAATAAGGATCAAGTAAAGAATAAACATTTTTTATCTTTAGTAGATAAATAGAAAAGTACTTAGTACAACAACAGCATATATGTTAATTAATATTCGTTTCTTAATAACAACATCACTTCGACAGGTGATATTATCAAAGAACCAAGCTGATACATGAAAAAATATGCAAAAAACTCTTCTGTATATTTCATTTCCCTCTATGGTATCATAACCTTTTTGAACTGCTCGGTAAAAATTAGAGACTTAGTTCTCATAGGAAAAGAAGTTTCTTTTTTATTCATTTTATCTTTATCTTGCTTTTATTAATATAAAGAGTTCATTTATCCTTATTTTTCAAACATAAAGAATTTCTTCATGTTTATTTCTTATAAAGATGATGATTTGATTTATATTTATTCCTTATTATAAAGAAAAATAAATATAAAGTAATACCCCTAAACAGAGGCAAAAGAAAAAGATCATCTCAAATTCCATCCAAAGAGAAGTCAATCAAGTGATTCAGGGTTCGCTTGATGCCTTTCTGCTTCTAACATCCGATCAATTCCACTAAGTGTACGTTTTTTACTTGCTGATGAGTCTTAAATAGAAATTAATACTGGTGCAAATGATATACTCATTAAATACATGGGTGGGTGTGGGCGTGTGTAACGATAAAATGAGGAAGAGATGATGTCATGACAGACTGGAGGAGTAGCTAGCAGCTACTCGGCAATGCTGTTTATTAGCTAGTCTACATCTCCAGAATGTGCCTATTGCACATTCAACACACGCTTATATATGATAGAGAAACAAAGAGAGAAACGACACAGAGAGAACACTAGAGAGAGGAAGAGCAGTGAGCCGTGACGTATATATCGGCACATTGTGGCTGTGGGTGAGGGTGCGAGTGTGGGTGTGGGTGTTGGCGTGGGTGTGGGTGTGGGTGTGGATGTGGATATCAACATGAGAGAAGACAGCCGCACCTAACCCACACTCACACCCACACCCACACCCCACACCCACCCGCATCGAGTGCTCTATTTTCATCGGAATATTTGTCCAAGAAGAAATTTGAGTACTGGGATTTATCTCATGTGTAGTCACCTATATGCAAAGTTTCATTCTGTTTGAAGAGCGTCATTACGATTTTTTACCTATCCTTCATACAAAGGTGTTGATGTTTTATGCTGTTAATTTTTCTCCCTCTACAGTAAACAGAAACACATGGGAGAACGCAAGAAAAAAAGACGACGTTGGAAGCAATGCACTGCAATTCTTTGCTCCAGAACAAAGGAGCACAAACATTGAGCAAAAATGCATAGACACACTTTCTTACTAATGTAATCAACTCATATTTGCCAAGGCTTCTTCAAACATTTTCATTTCAAGCTGTGATTCTTCCAGCAATTTTATGCTTCCAAGCTTCGTGGTTTCTTTTCATTTGTTAGAGAGTGATGATGTGGGTATCAACGAACAGAGAGGAGCACCAATTCATCCAGGATGTGGGTGTGGGTCTGAACACGAAGGAAGACCTCCACACCCACACCCACACCCACACCCACACCCACACCCACACCCACACCCACACCCACACCCACACCCACACCCACACCCACCCCACACCCACACCTCCCCCCACACCCACACCCACACCTCCCCCCACACCCACCCACACCCACACCCACACCCACACCCGTTTCCAACTATAATCCACGTCGTTTCTTTCGGTTGTGAATGAGCCATTGTCTGTTATGATGAGGAAAAAATTTGCGAAAGAACAGAATATTTGTTGCCTATGACACTCAGCACATAAGAGCACATATTATAAAATAGTCTAACTGGGAATCTTAATATTTATCGATCTGAGTCAGTGCAAACATTTGTCATGTAAATATTTGTTTCTTGTCGGTTCCTGTTGTTGTTAACTATGATTCACTACAGAACATATGAGTGGTTTCTTTCCTTTCCTGAGGGTGTGGGTGTGTTCGAAAAGATTTTATCAATCATGTAGCTAGCGAGACCGGTTTCGATAAGTGCTTAATGCTTACACTTATCAATTGCTTAATTTGATTGAAAGATGTTAAATGTAGTATAACTTCTCCTATTATGAATTATTAAAGTTAAAAGTTGTATAGGAATAACTTCCAAGCAAATAATAACCATAAAAATCTATCATTTAAAAGTTTTAAAGAAAAACTTCCAA